GTAGCTGACGCGCGGTCTTCCGGTGTGGCGGAAAAATGGCCGTGGTCCCTGTGCTGCGGACGCTGGCGCGGGTAAGGGGGTGGAGGGTCTGGGGCTCAGGGCAGGCAGCACCGGGCCGGGTTCCATCTTCCGTGGTCACCGAGAGGAGGCAGCCTGTCCTGCCCGCAGTTCAGGGCAAGGTCAACCCCCGAGGTCGAAGTCGCTCGGTGACATCTTGCTGATTGGTCCGCCCGAGCGCCCTCTTCCACCTCCCTGTTCTTAGTCTCCAGAGCTGTCCTGATGTCGCTTAGGGGTCTTGTGATCTTTATTCTTTTTAAGTTATAGACTTTTATCATTGTAAACTTCCCTCTTGGTAGTGTTTTGGATTTATCTCATAATTTGTTGGATTTTAGTTTGTCTCAAGGTAGTGCTTAAATTTCTTTTGATCTCTTCTTTGACCTTGTTCAAGAGCGAGTTAATTTCCACAGATTAGTGAATTTCCTCGTTTTCTTCTTACTGTCGATTTCCAGCCTCACTCTAATGTGGCTGGAAAAGATACTTGTGCGAGTTGTCGTCTTAAATTTGAGATAGAACTTGTGATCTGTCCTGCAGAACGTTCTGTGTGCGTGAGAAGAATGTGTAGAGAGGGTGGAACGTTCTGTCTTTCTGTTGGCTGCCTTTGGTCACAGTGCTGTTCATGTCCTCTTTCTTTGTTGGCAGCTGCTGTCTGGGTGTTCTAGCCATTGTTGAAACTGCATTGTTTGAAATCTGCAGTTATCCCTTGTTGTTTTCATACTTCATTTTGGTTAATGTGTGCTTAATATATTTAGATGCTTTAATTTTAGGTGCATATTTATTTATTTATTTGTATCAGGGATTGAACTCAGGACCTTGAGCTTGCGAGGCAGGCGGAGGAACCACTGAGCTAAATCCTTGACCCATGCATATGTATTTGTAATTGTGTCATCTTTCTGGTGAATTAATCCTGTTCTTATGTAATTGTCTCGTGTGATAATTTTGAATTAAATTTAGTGTTAAAGTCTGTTTTATAGTCTGCTGTCCCTTTGCTCTTTTGGATACCATTTGCATGGAATACCATTTTCTGTTTATTCACTTTCAGCCTGTGTGTGTCCTTAGAGTGAGATGTGTAGACTGCACAGCGTTGGAGCTTGGTGGTTTGTTTTGTTTTATTAAATCCATTCATCCTCTTTTGTTTTTGTTTTTAGTCCCAGGAATCAAACTCAATCTTGCACTTGCCTGGCAGCCACCCTCTGAGCTCTTTTTGACTGGGTGGTTTAGTCCATCTATATTTATTTACTGATAGGGAAAGAGTTACTGTTGCCATTTTGTTCATTGTTTTATGTCTTGTAGGATTTTTTTTCCTTTTTTTCTGATGACACGCGTTGGTTCATTTTCCTCTCTCACTATCAGGTACTTCTTTGTGGTTACTGTGGGTCTTACGTATCTTATAATAGTTTATTTCAAGCTCTCAATTGCATACATAAACTCTGTTCTTTCATTTCTCCCTTCTGTGTTTTTAATTTCACAGAGGTTTTGTTTTGCTTTTTGTTTGGTTTTGTTGTTCTGTTTTGGTTTTGCACTACTGGAGATTGAACTCACAGAGCCCTGAGCTGCATCCCCAGCCCTTTATTTACTTATGTATTTGTTTACCATTTATCTTTAAGTTTTGAGACAGAATTTTGCTAAATTGCCTGGGCTATCCTCAAACCAACAGGTTATAGGTGTCCCCACCTGCAAAACAAAGCAAAACAAAAAATACAGATATGATGGTGCGTTCCTGTAATCCCCCGCATTGGGAGGCCGAGGCGGCAGACTTGCAGTGAGCCTAGCCTGAGCAATTTAGTAACTTAGCAAGACCCTATCTCAAAAAATTGGAAAATGAATAAGTAAATAAAAGGGCTGGGGATGTAGCTCAGTGTGAAGACCCTGGGTTCATTCTCTAGTTTGGGGATTTACATACCACCTGCAATATTGCAGTATTTGTATTTGTCTGCATATTTGTATTCCCAGAAGTTTTGCACTTTTCTGTGTTCTGTGTTACAGTGTAGCACCCTGACATGTGCACCAGAAGGCTTCCATTTAGCAATGAGGCAAGTCAAGTGGGGATGAGCCCTGTGGCTTCTATGTCTGGAAAGATCTTTACCTCCCATTTATGTGTGTGTGTGCGCGCCCATGTGTGTTTGGCACTGAGGATTGAACCCAGGATCTTGGCTCTTTTTTCAGGGTTACAGACACTTCTAGAAGTCTTGTTAAAAATGCATTTTCGCTGGGTGTGATGGTGCACGCCTGTAATCCCGGCACTCAGGAGGCTGAGGCAGGAGGATCACCGTGAATTCGAGACCAACCTGGGCTACATAGTGAGTTCCAGGTCAGTCTCAACTACATAGTGAGACCCTGTCTCAAACCCTCCCCCACGAAAATGCATTTTCCAGGGCCCAATCCTAGAGGTTCTGCTCCAGATTGTTTAAGGTGGGTCTTAGGAAACCAATGTTTGGTTCATTACAGGTCGCTTCATTCCGTTCATTTGCTTGGGCTGCTGTACAGGACACCATATTTGTTTTTCTTGGTTCCTCAGGCTTGTCCACGCTGGAGGTGTCGGGTTTCTCCCCTGGCTTGCACAGGGCCACTTTGTGTTGTGTCCTCATGAGATCCCTGTGTACACACACTCTTGGTGTCTCTTTCCTGACTTTGACAGTTTCGTTAGAACCTGTGTAGGTGCACACTTCTTTGAATTCATACTAGTAGAGGTCTCTTGGGCTTTGTGAACATGGGTGTCCATTTCTTTCCCCAAATTTGGGAAGTTTTCAGCCATTGTTTCCTTAGCCTTTCTCTTCTGTGGGACTCCCATAATGTGTTCATATGTCTGCTTGATGGTGTCCTATAAATTCCCGAGGCTTTATTTCTAATTTTGCTCTTCTGCCTGGATAATTTCAAGGAAGCTGTGATTGAGTTTGTTCTTGTATCATGAAATCAGCTCTTGAGTCCCTCAAGTTCATTTTTTTCAGTTTGATTATTGTATTCTTCAGCTCCAGATTTTCTTTTGGCTTTTTTTCTTCTGTATTTACTCTTTGTTGATATTCTCATTTTATTCAAGTGTCATTTTCCTGAGCTTGTTGAAATTTTTCATTAGGTGGGTCACATACCTCTGAGACTTTAGGCTTGGTTACTGGAGATTCACTTTGGTCCTTTGGTTGGGCCACATTATCCTGTGTATTTGTGTACCTTGGAAGTTTGTATCAGAATCTCTGCATATGAAAAAGTCCCTCTCACCCAGATTTATGGTCTGGCTCCACAGAGGACAGACCTACACCAGTCACTGGCTAGGGACCCCGGGGGCTCTGCCCTCCCTGTGGAGGTGTCCTCACCCGACCCCTGGCTGTCCGTTTCCCTTTAGATGGGGCTGAAGGGTTTCCCTTCTGGAGCTGGCGTCCTCCTGCTCCCTCTGGGGTCTGTGTGCACGATGGAATTCCTCGGAGCAGGTGGTTCAGCTCTCCCTCCCCAGCCCCTAGACCGCTGCAGGGCACCAGGGCTGCCGGGGTTCACAGGACGTAGACTTCACTCACTCTCAGGCACCCACGTCGAGTGCTCGCTGGCTCTTCCCCTGCACTGGGTGGCACTGGCCTCCCTGCTCTCTGTTAGGGTCCCCTGGCTCAGCAGCAGGCTGTCGGGCCGTCTTTGTTTTCAGTGGCTGCTGGGCACATGCAGTGGGCCTCCTGAGCTCTGAGACTGGAGGGACAGAAACACTGAGCTGGGGGTGGGGACTTTGGCACACTGTCTGCTGTGCTTCCCAAGGCCCCCAGCAGGTGACCCTTCCTGTGCACTTAGGCAGCAGAAGCGGGCCCTCAGGTAAACCCAGAGTCTATTCCATGTGGACACAAGGAGCTCGGGTCTCCCTGTCATCGTGCGTGCTGGAGTGGGGTGGGCACAGACCTTCCTGGCTTCAGTGGACCTGGCTCACTCTCAGTGGGTGTGCAGCAGTCTTCGCTGGGTCTCTCCAAGTCGGAGTCAATCCTTGTGCCCTTGTCAAGTCTGCATCTCCATTAGGGATGGAGCCATGGGCTTCTGCTGTGCCCCTGTGCTGCCGTCCCCTTCCCATTAGATTCTCTGGATTGGGAGAGGAGGGACCATGCTGCCTGCGAATCTTCAGGGTCTAACATGAACAAATGCCTGGAATACAAACCATCTGTAAGGCTGCTTGGAATGTAAAGGGGGCAGAAAACATTCCTGCCCAGGCAAGTTCGGAGAGACTGGTTGAGAATGTATGTGTTGCATCCCTATTTGGATGACTTTGTCTCTCTGAGTCTTGGGTTCCTGGATTCCTGGACTGAAAGTGGGAACTATATCCCTGTAACCTCCTAAAACCGTCTAAGACCCCGCATGTTCAGTGCCTCATTGGTGTCTGAACAGCAGTGATGGTGGCTGTTGTTGCTATAAAGGTGCCTGTGGCTTGTTTCAGGTGCTGTCAAGACACAGTCTCTCGTCTCCTCTGTGCAGCAGGACATCATCCAGATGCTTCCACAGAGGTGACAGTCCCGCAGATTCTCAGAAAGATGTGATCGAAATCCCCTTGCCCCCGTGGCAGGAGAGAACTGATGAATCCCTAGAAACTAAGCGTGCCCGGCTGCTCTATGAGAGCAGGAAGAGGGGAATGTTGGAGAACTGCATCCTTCTCAGGTATGTGGACAGAGGGCGGGTTGCTTCCTTTGGACTGGAGACCGTCTTTTCAACCAGTTTCTCTTACTTGCTTTTAGTCTCTTCGCTAAAGAGCATCTGCACCACATGACAGAGAAACAGCTGAACATGTATGATCGCCTGATTAATGAGCCCAGTAACGACTGGGATATTTACTACTGGGCCACAGGTACTGGCTGTGGGGAGCGGCATTCTCTGAAAGCAGGGGACCCCGGCTGAGTTGCATGTGAAATTAAGTCCTAGCTGGTCTTACTCTTTCATTCATGTCATAGACAGTGGACCCTAACCCAGTTCAGATGTTACCAAAATGTGCACATCCTGGCAGCCAGTGGTCTCCACTTAATGCCTGTGGTCCTGGTGGGTTTGTGTAAGTCCAGCAGCGTGGCAGTGTGGGTAACCAGCTCTGCTGACACAGCCCGCGTGCTGCCTGCCGTCCCTGTGCCAGCTCTCGTAGTGTTTGTGATTTTTCTCCTCATAGTTGAGGAGCTGTAGGGATGTTCCTTTATTTCTGTTACTGGTAAATGTGATTTTCTCCCTTTTTCAGTGAACCAGTTTTTTTATTTTTTTATTTCATTGATTTCTGTTCTTATCTCCATTATTTCCTTTCCTCCACTGGCTTTAGGCTTACTTGGCATTTTCTGATTTCTTAAGGTAGAATTTAGCTCATTGGCCACCACTTTTTCCATGTGTGTTAGGTATTATAAATTTGTTTAAGTACCACTTTAACTTCATGTTAGAAATTTTGGTTTATTATGTTCTTGTTTCCTTCAAATCAAAATGTTTTCTAATTTTCCTTTTGACTTTTTCTTTGCCCCATGCATCATTTAGACTGTTGTTTTTTGTTTTTTGTTTGGTACTGGGGATTGAACTCAGGACCTTGCGCCTGCGGCGCCACTGAGCTCCATCCCCAGCCCCTTTATTTAGAAGTATACTGCTTAAGTTTCAAATACTAGGGAATTTTCCAGAATTTGCTGAGGTTGGTTTTATGCCTGAGGTGTGGGTGTCTTATAAATGCTCCGTGTGTGGGTGAACACAACGTCGTAACACAGCGCCTGTAGGTTTCGATGGGGTCAGGTTGGGCCAGGCTGCCTGACACTGCTCTCCGCATCTGCTGTGTCCTCTGGTTTCCCACATGCCCACTTGGGCTCGTAGGTGAGGAGGTTGGGTCTGCGCCTGCGGTGGTGGGCTTCTGCCCCTCCTCGCTCCGTGCAGTGGAAAGCCCTGATGGACTGCCTCCGGTATTGTGTCCGGCCCATCTTCCTCGCTTACAGTGCCCTGCATTCCGGGTGTCTGTAATGGCACTGGACTGTGGCAGTGGTGGTCTTGGTGCTCAGCACTGGCACCTCCAGAGCCCTCTGTGCTGGCTACCACAGCTGTTCTCCCTGCTGGTGTCTGAGGAGAGGGCTGTGATCCCTGTTTCTGTGTACACAGTGTAATCATTCATCGGCGTTTCCAGTGCTCTCTCAGCTCCTAGCTGTTTGGATGTGATTATGCATTGTTAGCTCTCTGTCACTGTACTGGACACCAGAGATAATCACTTGTAAAGAGAAAAGGCTCTTATCTTTTTATTAATTTATGAGACAGGGTCTTGCTGTGTTGCCCAAGCTGGCCCCAAGCTCCTGGCTTCAACAACCCTCCTACCTCGTGAGTAGCTGGGACCAGAGGCACGATCCTGCTGGCTTAGCAAAGGCTTACAGTTTTAGAGGGCCCAGTGTATGGCTGAGCGGCCCCATTGCCCCAGCCTGTGTTGAGGACACACATGGTGAGGATGGGGCTGTCCTGCTGTCTTCTGTACAGACGCACCCTCAGTTAACCCTAACCCTGCGTGCCTCAGCTGCAGAGCACCGTGTCGCTCTGGCCATGCTCCCACAGTACCTACGGTCAGTGCATTTCAGTGCTGATCCTGCTCAGCTCTCGGGTCTGTTGTGCTCAGTGTTTCGGGATGGTCTCAGCCATTACCCCTCCTCTCGGGATTCTGGTTGACTTAGAGTAGTTTCCCACTGTCCACTAGCTCTTGGGTTCTGTTTTGTGTCTTGTCTTTTCCCGCATGGTTTTGCAGTTTGCATTGAGTGGCACCTCTCATCCTGTCTTCTGCTGATTCTCTGCTTGCTTACCTCAGATCCTGTGATGAGCCTGTTGAGGTTGTCCTGCATTTCCACTGCTGTGTTTTTATTTTGCGCATTTCTGTTTGGCTTTCTGCATTTCTAGTCCATGCTGGGATTCCTCACCTGCTCATGCATTTCATTTTCCTTTCCACAAGCGCTGTAGTGTCAGGCCCAGTGACTTCAGTGCCCTGGCTGGTATCTCCATCTGAGTCATCCCTGAGTCCGCTGCTGTTGCTTTTCCCATATAGTCAGTCCTCTTTCCCTTCTTTTGTGTGCTTGTATTACGTAATTGTTTGTGGAACGCCAGCCCTCTGGTCAGGCGCAGACACTGGGGTCTGAGTTGTTGGTGCATCGAGATGGGCACGCTTCTTCTAAGGCCAGTGATGGCAAACTGTTAGCGCTTTCAGGGATAACGCACAGCTGGTGTGGCGTGTGTGCCCTAGGTTCACCGCCACTATCCTCTTGGGATCAGTTTGGTGGACTGAGTGGTTGAGTGGTTTGGATTTTGTTTTTGCCTTGGTTACCTTCAAGGCATTGTCAGCTGCTCTGTTAGCTGTAGCTAGAGGCTGGGGCCTGAGGCTGCCCCTTGGTGTCCTGCAGTGCAGCCTCAGTGCTGGGGGGGCCCAGTGACCACCTAGGAGGCGGTGCTTTCTTTGCCCTCTCCTGGCCTCACTGCTCCCCTGTGTTGCCTTTGAGGAACTGGAGACTGTGCTGCTCCTTCCCTACCGGTGCCTGCCACCCAAGCCCCTCTGGGTCTTTGGCTCCCAGGGCCTTGGCACTTACCATGTCATTAGAGGTTTCAGCTGAGCTTTTCTCACTGTTACACTGCACCCGTGTCTGCCTCCCAGGCCCTGCAAACTCAGGTCATTTCCCCTTTAAAAAGTCATGGTGCTTGTTACTTTCTGGCTTTTCTTGTTTGTCCTAGGAAGGCCTTACTTTGATGGTCAACAGACCCCAGGATGCAGTCCAGATGCTAGGCCCTATGCTGACCCAGGGCTCTGCCCAGTGGCCTGGGCTCCATTCTGAGCTTTACTGGTGGATGGCTCAGCCTGTTGCCAAGATGCTGTGAGGTTGGCAGTGGCAGCACACAGCCCACCCCCTGCCCAGAGCCGAGGCTGCCACTCTGGTCTCTGCTCCTGGTGCCTTTTGGGCCTGTCCGCTACACCAGGTTCTCCAGGGTCATGCTGCCCCCTGGGCCTCTAACATCCTTCTGGGAAAGTCCTTCCTGCTTACGTTTACTGGTTCTTAGTTCTATCACTTGCAGCCGAGGCCTCTAACTGCTAGAGGAAGTAGAGCTCTTGTATGAGGATGCTGTAGATCCGAAGTAAAGCACAGTGTGCACCAAGAACCCCACAGGAGCCTGGACCTAGGTGACACTGAGGGCTGCGTGTTCTCTTCCCATGTCCTGCAGCTCTGCCGCACAGTGCAGCGTTCACCTGTCCTTCCATTTGTGCCCCGTGGCTCTTGGCCATAATCTTTGTGGTCTTGGACGTAATGAGGAAATTAGGCTTAGAGAACACAGGCTGGGCCTCCAGTTTATTTGATATTCTTTTTTTGGTTTTTTGAGACAGGGTCTCACTATGTAGTTGAGACTGACCTGGAACTCACTGTGTAGCCCAGGCTGGTCTCGAACTCACAGCGATCCTCCTGCCTCAGCCTCCCCAGTGCTGGGATTACAGGTGTGCGCCACCATGCCCCGCTCCTCCAGTTCATTTGAGAAGGGAGGTGGCTGCCGAGTGACCAGTGGGCGGGTGGATCAGCACAGTCCCCTGGACTCCCAGGCCAGGCCATGGGATTGTGTCAGAACAGCATGTGATGTAAACTCGTTTACCCCTCAAATTTTCCACTTAACATTTTAAGCCTGTGCTTGACCCCAGGGAATTGAAACAGCACACGGAGGACACCAAAAGCCAGAGCAGAGCTGTGGCTTGGCCACGACTAGGGCCTGGGTCAGATGTGTGTCTCGCCTTGCAGCAGGCAGCACGGTCCCTGTCCTGTGCTGGCCCTGGCTGTGTGATCAGGTGGGAGCCGCTGTTCAGTAACTGCAGATGGGCCGGCTGGGCCTGCCCATGAGGCGCCATCACCTGTGTCTGGAGCAGGGTGGAGGTGGCCTTGTCGCCACCTTGTCTCAGCAAAGCCAGCGTGCCGGGTCCAGGCTCTTGCGCTGGTCCTCACTGGGGATGTGTAACCCTCTGTCTGCTCCTCTCTTGCAGAAGCCAGACCAGCCCCGGAGGTATTTGAAAATGAAGTCATGGCCCTACTGAGGGACTTCACTAAAAACAAAAACAGGGAGCAGCGGCTGCGCGCCCCAGACCTGGAATACCTCTTTGAAGAGCCACGCTGAGCTCCACTCGGGACCCAGTCCGCCTTCCTGCTTCTCCATAGACACTGCTCCTCTGGAGGTGTCGGGAAGAGTGGACACAGCCGGCCCTCAGAAGGGGACCAGTGTTCCTGGGCCTCCCTCCCAGGCAGTGTGGGGCTTCAACTGGCTGCTGTGGGCCAGGCCTGCCACAAGAGGGCACTGTGGCTCCATCGTGTTCCTGGGAAGGGACCAGCCTGGCTGCGAGTGCTGCGGGAAGAGCCCTGCCATCTGCACCCGCTTCCTCTGGCTTTGTTAAAGTGAATCCCCCTTCCAGCCTGGTGTGCTCCTCCCTGGCCAGGGAAGCTGCCTGGGCCCCCCGCACCTGCCTGGTCAGAGAAAGGCAGGCAGAACAGGGCAGGGTGGGCGTGTGGCTTATAAGCAGTGCCATCTTCACACTTCTAATGCGTGCACTTACAGTCGTAAAGAACATGGGAGAAAGGAAGCGGCAGCGTCCAGGCCCTCTGATTTCTATTCGGTCTCCTGTGTCACCTGCAGCCACAGCGCAGCTTTTCCTCCCGGCGGCTCTGCAGCACAGCCCCGTCTTCACCAGTGCCTGCAGGCGGTGTGCTCACCCAGTGTTCAGCCCCATCTGCCGGGCGGGTCTCCCTGAGGCGGCTCTTCCCGGCTGTGTGAGGACGGTCACGGTCGCCCAGAGTGGCTGGGAGCATCCTGGTGGGCAGAGCCGAAGACCGAGCCGACACAAGAGCTGCACTGTGAGCTTCGGAGTCCTCATCGGACAGGCGGGGGGGGGG